GGGACAGGTCTGACACCGTGTAACACTGGGGGATAGTACTGGTCGGGACAGATCTTATATAACGGCTTGGTTAGACTGCACCTGGTGCATTGTGTGCAGCTTGGTCTCTATCCCAGGAAAGATGTTATTGCCATAAAGAGTGTGCAAAGGGTCACCAGCCTTGTTCTTGGGAGGGTGGAGCTGTCCTATGAAGGGAGATTGTGCAGACTGAGCCTATATTTTCCAGAGTTTTGAAGAACACAAGGTGATCTCATTGAAACTTAGAAAACACTTAAAAGGACAGAAAGTGTAGACACAGGTAAAATGTTATCCCCGGTAAATTAAAAATAAGGTAGATGCCATTTAGGATCAAGATGATTTTTTTTTTAAACCTCAGAGGGTCTGAACCTTTGGAAGTCTTCCACAGGGGCCTGTGGAAGCTCAGTCTTTGTGTACATTTAAGGTAGAGATGTGATAGATTTCTGATTCGCGCTGGTGTGCAGGGTTATAGGGATGGAGTGAGTAAAGAGTATTGAAGTTTTCGATCAGCCTTGATCATGTTGAATGGGTTGACATTATCAGGCTCGATGGGCTGAATGGCCTACTCCTATTCCTATCTTCCTAACATCCCAAGGGATCTTCACAGGATGGACATGGAAAGAATGTTTCCTCTTGTGGGTGAATTCAAACTGGGGTCAATGTTTACAAACGAGGAATCTTCTATTTAAGACAAAGGTAAGAATTTTTTTTCTCTCTGAGAAACATGAATCTTTAGAACTCTCCCCGAAATGCTAGTGGAAGCAAAGTCTGAATATTTTTAAGGAAGGGATGGATAGGTTCTTGATAAGTGAGGGGATGAAAGGTTCGGAGGTAGGCAGGACTATGGAGTAACCACATCAGCCATGGTCTTACTGAATGGCAGAGCAGGCTCGAGGGGCTGAATGGCCTCCTCCTGTCTCTAAGATGATGCGTGCAGTACCTTCTGTTCATGTGGCAGTAGAGTGAAGAGGATCAGGGGAACCTCCAGTTTGAAACTCTCCATCAGCGACACGGGCACATTGCCAATGTGTACAGTAACATACCAGCCAGGCTGTGAGCAAGAAAATAAAAACCACTGGTCAGCTTTACAGAGGATCACTGACGACAGAATGAGGAGCAGTTAAAAACCCAGCATTTACTCAAAAACTGATAAATCACAAAGTGCTCTGAAACTCTCTAACACAAAGTGTGAGAAACATACTGTCCTCAACATGGACAATGCCAGATTCAGCAACAACACACTGGCACCCCAACACCTCAGTTGGCACTACAGTAAATGTGTGAAAACCTGCCGGGGTTTCTGCAGGCAATAACCAGCAGAGGGAAATGGAAAGGCCTCCCTCGACATGGAGGGTAAAGGGGAAGGCAACATGGAGGGCCAACTCACACAGGGAACATAAACCGAACTGTATCCCACCGAGAGTCAGCACCCTCAAGAACTGTATCCCAGTGAGATAACAATAATAAAAATATAAATCCTGACCAATACAAGACACGGTAACTGCAAAGATAGGTTCACACGTGGCTCACTGAGGTTAAGCAGCTACTCCCTGCCCTCTGGTTAAAGCTGATACACATTACTTAACTCGGAGCTCAGAAACTTGCCATCAAGAACCAATCCAGAATCTCTACAGTTCAAACATCACCAGCTGTCCACCTTTCTCTGCCCATCTGCTACTGAAACCACATTTTGAACTCTGAAAGGACAGACAACACCCTACAAATCAACCCTTCCCCCAAACCAATACACCACCCCCTCCAAATCACAGCCCTTCCCCCGACCCATCACAACCCCGCCCCAAACCAATACAGCAATAAGCAATAAGCAATACACCATCCCACCCCCAAATTACCATTGCACCTTCCTCCTCCTCTTCAATCTCCCTGTAGATTCTTCTCTTTGTCCGGGTGTAGTTCTGGAACTGGAATATCCTGGCGTAATCCCGTGGCAAGTTCTCCTTGGGGTCCCAGGGCGAAGTCCGGAAACTCTTCAGCCCCCGGTACTTCTGAAACCTGTGGAATGTAAACAAAACACACCAAGAATAATCAGTCGTCATTTTGGGAGGAGCTAAACAAGAGATTAGTGCTCTCTTAAATCATCCTATGCCACATTCCAACCACAATCACAGAATAATCCACACAGGAGAAGGCCAATCAGCCCATCATGTCTGTGCTGATTCTTTGAAAGAGCTATTCAATGCCATAACAGGATACTTAAGTCATCCTGCCAGATACTGGCTGCCCTCATCAGATCACTGCTTGCTGTGTGACCCAAAACTTACGAATGGGCGCAAAGTTGCCACTTTCAGTCCCAAAAAGTAACCAATATTAGATGCAATTCTGTGACTGAACAGTAACTTGCTAAGCAATCCAGATTGTCCTAACAATTACAGTAAACTGATTTAGAATGATCAATTGGGTTCACAGCACCACCTGCTTATTAACCCTCCTGACACTGGAAACAAATAATCTTCCAGCTACCCAACTCAAACACTGAGTAGATATTTAAGGATGAGCTGTTGTATTTACCACAGATATAGTGTCATGCAGGAGGATTTCAATAAAGGAATTTCAGCAAAATCTACCAGAATAAACAGAGGAAATCCTGAAAAAAAGCAAAGGTTGGAACGTGATGAGGATTTTCAATACTTCAAGCAGCTGGCACTCAAGTGTCTAGCTCCACCAAGGCTAGAACGTTCTGTCCCTCACCCCAGTCTTCATTTTGAACTGAAACAATTCAGACTGATTATCTGTGGAAGCGTGTTGTGCCACACAGGTAAATCAGGGCCTGTTCTCATGTGATACACAAGTGTGAGCACACAAACACATGGAGACACATCCAAGACCAACTGCAAAAGCTGCTGCCAGTGTCTGGCAATGGAGGTGTTAACATTGTCCAACAAAGCACAAAGAACTGCCACTGAGTGTCCGTGATAGGAGCTGCTCGGTGCCAAGGAAACCAGTAATCTTGTTTCACTGTTAACTTATATCATTGCTTTTCAGATGTCTATCATTTGGAAATGGTGCACAATAGAGAAAAGTAATGACCGGAAGGATGGAACTGCCCATCGTTCCCAGTGTGCAGTCTCAGGATGAGCCCTGTACACAGATTTACTGAACAACCACCACAATATCAGGCAGCCTCCACACACCTGACTCGAGCTGCTACATCCTTTGGCGTGTCTACCTCATCAGGGAACATTTCATCCATTCGCTCCTGCTTGTACTTTTCCAGCATCATCATCTCTTCTTCTTCGTCAATCTTTTCGTCATAATGATCATCGCGAATGCTTTCTGGAACTGTCATGGTTTCACATTCCTCATCAGCCTCTTCCTCACCATCACTTGCTTCACTGGCCTATAGGGAAGGAATAATAGCAGGAGCTGGGTGATAAATCCTTTTCTCACAAAAACCACCAACAGCACCAGGGAGCTCCAGGTCAGACCACAGTGTCCCAGAATTTGTTTCACACTTCAGCATGTCTCACACAAGCTGCTACATATACTCCATCAAAGTGTTTGGGAGAGCAGTCCCTGCTGCTGCAGAGGCAGAAGCAGCTACAAGCACAGCAATACCTGACTATAAGCAATGAGATGAATTAGCAGCAGATCAATGCCTGGTGGGGTCTGTTATTGGCAGGATGCTGGTCAGGATACCAACACCTTTCAACAATGTCACAGGGATTTTCACATGCAGCTTAATAGGTGTACCCCCTGTACATATCAACCCAATTCCAGCAGCAACTACACGATAGCACTCCTTCAGTACCATAATGTGTGTGGTGGTGGGTGTCAGTCTATTGTACTTGCCTACCTGAAGCTCAAGAAACAGTTTCTTCCCCTGTAGCCCCAGTGAGATGAGCAGTCACTGTCTCACTCTCTGGGAACTGCATACACACCTCCAAGCTCCACTTCAGACTACAATTTACAGCCAGCTCCCAATGATTTTTGTCATTTACCACACCACATGGTGTTGTTTTCCCCATATGTAAACATTAAATATGGCCCAGAGAATGGGCCCAAGTCCTGCAGAAAATAGTGGCTGCTTCATCCTCAAAATCCCTGACCCACAGGATGCAGACTTAAACAGCAATGTTTCCTGACGCAGGGGAATGGGAGTTGCAATTTTTAAAGCCAATTTTCTTTAGAACTCTGCGCACATCAGCAACAGATCTATAGAATAGACAGCTGGCTCACCTGTGACACGGTCTCGCCCATCATCTCATTCTTCTCCATATCTTCGTCACTTTCCTCCTCCTCTTCCTCATCCCCTTCTTCATCATCCAGAATCCATGTGGCCTGGTAATCAGAGGTACCTTTTGGAACTTTTCGAACGATCTTCCTGCTTACTTTCAGAGTATCTAGAAGGAGGCGGGTAGAACTGAGACTGACATTTGAGCTATCAAAGCACCAAGCTGAGCAGGAGACAGTGAACTCTCATCATTTTCCAATTAGCATTAACTGGAGGCTCACTGCTTTCACTATCCAAGATACAGAAAACATGCCATTAATCACTATAAACCAGGAGGTGGGAGAGGGGAACTTAGTGAAGCTGCAATCCCAGGAAAGTGGTACTGAGCAAACTGATGGAGCTGCAGGCTTAGTCTACAGGTCCTTGATGGACTTATCACAAGGTCTTAAAAAGAAGTGGCTAATGAGATAATACATATGTTCATGTACTTTTCTAAAATCCCCTCAATTCTGGAAAGGCTCCATCAGAAAGTAATAAATATAACTCCTCTGTTCAAGGAGGGAGGGAGGCAGTAAACAAGGGACTATCATTCAGTTAGCTTGACGTCTGTCTTACGGAAGGTGTTTGAATCAGTAAGGAGTATAACACTGGGCACTTAGGAACAGTTCAAAGTAATCAGGAAAATGTCATGCTGCTTACTTTGGTGGGAAGAATAAAAATATTGAGCATTACTTGAGGGTTTGGGGTACTCTGGTGCATGAGTCACAAGGTTAGTATGCAGCTCAGCAAGTGATTAATAAGGCAAATGGAATGCTAGGCCTTATTACAGCAGGGTTGGAACCTGAAAGCAAGGATATCCAGCTTCAGTCACACAGAACATTGGTGAGACTACAACTCAAATACTGTGATAACACAGTATGGAGCTAGAAGAACACAGCAGACCAGGCTGCAGAACTGGAAAGTTGACATTTCGGGTCGGGACCCTTCCTC